CTTTATAAACCAGAGCCCTTTATAATCCATCTAGTACGTAGATGGACTAGAGCAGAAAACTTGGAACTGATGAAATATATATATATATATATATATATATATATAGATGCTCTAATCCATCTATTTCTTGTTCCAGTAGCCAATTTGTAATCAAGTTGCCCTGGTTCCTAGCAAGTGACGCGGACCTTGTTAACCCGGGCGACGTCTGAGCTGGTATGTCTCTTGTATTTGCGGTTTCACTCATGCCTGAGGTAGGCCACTAAGCACTAAGCACTATCCTAGAGATGCTTGGCTATAAGATAAACACCACAGGCCACAAAGCACAACCCCCATGGAGAAGAAGGCTGGAAGCCAAGATCAAGGCAACACGAAGAGAGGTTAGTCAGCTCTCAGACCTGCAGAAAGGTGTAGGGAAGAGGTTACCTAAGTACAACAAGCTGTCGATTCCTGAGGCTCTAGAAACTGCCAAACAAAGAATCGCCGCCCGGGCCACCCGCCTAAAGAGATACAACCCTTAACCCCACACTGCTCCCAGGGCACCGCACAATGGCAACCCACTGCTCCCCAAGGGGATGGGTTAAATGCAAAGAGGGAATTTCTACAGTGTGAGATTAATAGAGTTCAATAAAGCTCAATTTAATGGCACAAAGCCTGTGCATAGTTTCCAATTGTATCCCAATGTCAGTCAGGAAGTTTGTCCCCCAAAGCCCCTGGACAGCATTTGGCCGTTCTAATAGAGCCTACAACATCACCATATAAGGTGAGTTTAGAGCCATCCTGTCTCGTTCTCTGGCCATGGACTCAGTGGCACCCCCAGGAATTTGGGGCCCCATGAGAGACACTGATATTATGCCCCCCACACTTTAAAACAGCTTTAGAGATGAACTGAGTATAATTTACATTTTCGATATAAGTTTTGATGTAATATTTATACAAAATAAAATGATTAGAATGTGAAAAAGTTAAATATACTTTAACTTTAAACTTTACATCCTATCAAAATTATAACAGCTTATTTAAAACAAAAAAAAAAAACACATCTGTTTCTATGTACACAATAATAGAAAATAGGTCTTGGATTGTGAAACTATATTCCTAATAGATTTCAGTCTACTTTATTAGATATAAGAAAATAATCCTGACACTAAGTAAACAAAGTGCTGCACAAGCCTGAATATTTGAACAGATTCTCTTAGCTTGAGTCTGGTTATACTCTTCATTCAGAGAAGCTGTGCCCTGCTAAAAAACTGGAGGGAGAACCAGAACATTTTATTCAAAACATCACCATGCATTATTAGAACTGTCCTAAGAAAACTTTTTTACTAACATTGTCTATATTTCTGTTTTCATTTTGCAGATTCGGCGTTGAACAGAATCTCAAGTCCTATGCTGAGAAGCCTGTTTTCGTATTGTCTGAATAAGAGTTTAGATTTTAAAGGTTGATTCGCAACAAACCATGAGCCAAGGAGATTCTGAGAGGCTTTCTGATGCTGTTGTACCTACCTGCACCCTGCTAGAAAAATCAACGGGAAAACTAAACATCTATAAAATTCCTCTGACAGAGGGGGAAGCCAAAATAGATGGGTGCAGGTTTCTCAGCTTTGGGGAAGTCAGTTCTAGAGAAGATAATCAGACCATCCTGCTTCTTGGAGCAACAGGTGCTGGGAAGTCATCTCTCATCAATGGGATGATAAATTACATTCTAGGTGTTAAATGGGAAGACCCATACCGATTTAAGATAGTGGACGATGGTGAAAAAACATCCCAAGCTCACAGTCAGACATCTCTTGTCACCGTGTACAAACTCCACTACAGGGAGGGATTTAACATAGATTACACATTAACTATTGTAGACACTCCAGGCTTTGGAGACACCAGAGGCATTGATAGAGACAAAGAAACAGCAGTGCAGCTATGCAACCTCTTTAGTAACAGAGATGGGATCAATGTAATTGATGCTGTGTGTTTTGTTGCTCAGGCTGCTTTAGCTCGTCTCACAGCAAAAGAGAAATATATATTTGATTCCATCTTTTCAATCTTTGGTAAAGATATAAAAGAAAACATCAGGGTCCTGGTGACGTTTGCAGATAATCAAAAGCCACCAGTTCTAGAAGCAATCAGTGAGTCAGGCGTCCCGTGTCCTAAAGATAAAAAAGGTTTGCCAGCTTACTTCAAATTTAACAACAGTGCTCTGTTTGCTGACAATGGGTCCTCTGCAGTATCTGCTGTAGCGGGTAATTCCCTGAGTGATGATGATGATGACAGTGATGATAGTGATGATGAAGATGATGAGGACAACATTGACCAGATATTTTGGAAAATGGGAATGAAAAATATGGAAAAGTTCCTCGATGAACTAATTAAGATGGAACCCAAAAGTTTGGTGATGACAAATCAGGTCCTGCAAGAAAGAAAACAGTTGGAAATGTCAATCAAGAATTTACAGGTTAATGTTGATCTCAAATTAAATAAACTGAACAAGATCGCAGAAACGGAGCAAGAAATTATAAAACATGAAAATGACATAAGGGAAAATGCAAACTTCACCTTGATGGTCAACAAGTCCATCCCTCAAAAAGTTAAACTATCTAAGAAGCGCGCCAACAACTGTAAGCAGTGTCTGCGCACCTGTCACTTTCCCT